AATTGAAATTAATGGGCCGATTATTTGCCGAAGCTGCGATGCTCGTGGAGAGAAATCGAATGACTCACCCTAAGGAGGGCAAAATAATTTACATTCATACTTAAGCTATGCACGATTAATTTGGATATAAATAAATAATCTTTTAGTTTAAAAATACTAGCTGTTGCTCGCGACTTCGTCTTAAACATTAAAAAATAACAAAAAACATAGCCTATGTTACTCACTGAATTGAAATCGGCTCAGTTTTTTTTTTTAATACATACAAAAATACAAATCTTTCCTCTTTATAATATTAGTGCAGATATATTATTGATTCTGAATTTTATATGATTGTGTAGACAGATTATAATGACATTTTTTGTATTTGTTGTAATAATAATTACGATCTTCTAATGATTAATTAAAAAAATAGTTTAATAGAGGCAAATAAAATGTACAAATCAGACCTCATAGCGAAATCACATTTACAAAGGACATTCCCCTGGAGTAATAATTAAATTGTAAACATTAAAAGGAAGCATAGGGCAATTCAGCTGACATTGAGATAACCCAATTTCCTGTCAAATGTTCCCGCGACACCAGCGGCAACCGGGGAACCGATAGATATGTTTGTACATATCGACTTTTCATTAAAAAAACGATAATTCTGTTATTACCAACAGAAAAAAAACACCATATTGTCACAGAGTTCAAAAATAATTACTTGTACACTGGCTTAACAAAAAAGGTATATACATTGATTCTGAAAATCAACGCTTAAAATAGAGACGTTGTCTAGACAGGATAACTAGGAAACCGAGAGTATTGATCAGTACTACGCTACAAGTACGTTATTCCACAACGTGAGCTTATGGTATATCCCTTTTTACATTATCCTTATTATGTCTAGTGCAAACACTAGGTTTGTACTTGTGCGTGTTTGATTAATAACAGAACAATTCGTTGCTCCAAAATGCTACCCTTTATGTAGAGTAAGTGTATAATTTTTAATATGAAAATACAAATTCTTTCAAAATTAAATGAAGATAAACAGATTACAAGTATTGTTAATAGACTACAAGGATCGTATCATTTACACATGCAACTGAATATTAGCTGAGAGATCACGATTTCCAGCAATGCGGTTTAATGAGCCGTGAAATAGAAACAATGGACAATAATTTACAAATTAAATGCACCGATGCACACGGGTTTCTCAATCAATTACTATCGCTTCAAGGTACACGAGAAGATCTACCTGACCCGTATTGCATCCGTTTCCGGTACATCTTAGTGATAAAAAAAATGTCACGAGAAAAAACTTAAAGACATCTTACAAGTGGTCTAAATTCTGATATTAACGAGATTGCATTTTAGTGTACAATGGATAAACTTATGCCTGTTTGTCAGTTGTTTTCTAAAGACAAATGTTTCGCTCCGTATGCTATTCAATCTGTGGCCTCCAGATGTCGAAACATGCCTCCCATTCTTATACATTATTTACAAAGTTATGGTTGAATAATTGCCCATTGCAAGATCATCGTTGAATAGATTCTGTAGTCGATGACATAAAACTTATTGAACATTCTACAAAATTTACCAAAAAGGTGTTTAAAACATCTTGGTCTCTTTTGATATTTTCCCTGCGGTACAAAATAAGCAACTATAGAAGTGATTTAATAAATAAATTGAATCAATAAAGTTAAATCAAGCATTAATTTACCATAACAATTAATTTACACAAAATTTATTTGAAATAATTAATCATTCAGTAAATTTTCGCATATCAAATTATAGAATAATTAATTTAATAAACGCTCGTTAGTAGACACAAACAGGAAAACTCAACAGATGTCGCCAACATGATAAGACACATGGGCGAACAAACAGACAACACTTGGCATATTAAAACAGCGAACTGAGTTTACGTGCATTGTTTCCCATGGGGTTTCATTTCATTTGCATATAAAATATTTCATTACTTATATTCCTATTTTTTCACCTTTATAACATGCGAAACACTAGCTTAGTACTAGGTGATTATACCAATATCGTTTTGTAAAACTACCACTCCAATCAAAAAGCTTTTCGAACCAAATTAGTCAACAAAATTAATACTTCTTTACTAATTAAAAAGGTTCGCTAAGAAAAGATAGTGCGTGGTATCAGTAACATTTTGTTGATTAGTAGCAAGCTATTTTTCCAAGGATATTATTTATAGTGTTAGCAAGAAAAGGCACCTCCCTGTCGACATCGAGGCGTGGGTAGAAGCTCATAACATATTGCTCACTGCAGTTTGCTAAATCACGGCTCTTTGAAACTATATAGAGCCTTCTATTTTTAAATATAGCCTGTGTAGAAAACATTTAAAAAATGTAGTATTCAAATAGTCGTTTAGTACGAAATAAAAATGTAATATTACACTAATCAAAGATATTACATATCGTAAGCAATAGTCATAAACATATGTAGTAAGGTGTGTTCGATTCACCTGCTTTGTATGAACAGCGTCACCTGCACAGCGGCAGATGGTGAACAAAAAAACAACGACCCTCCGCCACCGGAAACTACACACAAAGCGAAATGGGACATGCAACCCTCTGCCAGATTTGAAAGCTTTCTAAACATCCAAATGAACAGATAGACTTTTAAATTACTATGAAAAAAGGTATTAACATTTTATAGACTTCATAAAAGTAAACTATAGTCAATGACTTTTTAAAATATTTTATTTTGTCTATTTTTCAATGATATATTTCTTCTATACATTTGTTGTATAAATTTGTAGCGATTTTCCTAAGTAAAGCATTGAATCAAAAGTACATGGTTTTCATGTTTCCGTGTATTCTTGTGGGAATTTTGTACATCAACATGCGAAAGGAAGGTAAAAAAATGAACCTTGCTTATAATTCATATTCCTGTAAATGCAAACGGGAACAAACTCCCTTCTACCACATGTTATGTTCATTGACCTCAAAATTTCCAAGATTGAAGAGCAATTACTCATTCGCAATTTGTTTTTTCTTTTATTTTAAACATTGTTTCATGTTGCGTATCAATCAAGATAACTTATTAAGAACGCAAACAAGAATTTAAATAATCTTTTGTCCGTTACGAAAGACAACGCTACGATGTTGGCTTTTTAAAGGGCCCAATGGAGTCGCATCTAGGTCCGGTTTGTCGTTGCGTCGGACAGGGCTGGAATGTGAGCCAGGTCCCGATGGGACTCGAATCACTGACTCATGTGAGCTCATTTTTTTTAAATAACAGTACGTTACCGACTTTAGTTAGAAAGTTGGAGTGTGGGTCGCATTGATAAACACGACACCCACGTTTGTGTATTGCCGCATCTTATAGTATCGTAAAGTACATATGAGTTAATGAACCTTGAATACGATTTATTTAAGATATATTTTGTACTCAATTTATAAATAGTAAAACGATCAATATTTGCCTCATAGTATGTTACTAAGTGATGTTAATGGAAATTTCAAGAGGTTTTATTCTTCATCAATAAATTTTATTTATGTTATTTACCGTTATTCGTTAGAGATTTTATTGTAGATATTATGCATGCATTACCATCCGTTCATTTTATAAAACTATCCAAGATGCAACTTGAGAGTCAACTGTTATATATGAGAAGAAGGAATGAATAAATCACTTCAAACGCATCACGCCCACAAAGTTGACTGACCATATAAGGGAAAGTTGTTTAAATAACAAATAGCCTTAATCTGAATGCAATGCCACAACAACTTGACTGTTTATTGCCGTAGTTTATAAGGTTTCTTCAACACGAAAGAAAAGGAATAAAACGTTATAAAGTGAATCGTGGCCAATTAATATCTGAGAGCTCTTGAGACTTTAGGAAACCGCTCGCCTTTGAGTTGAGAAGATTAAAGTCAGGAACTGAGCGTTGGCAGATACGAATTTATCAAGCGACTGAATTTACTAAACAATTTCCTTAGCAATTTAGCTAGTTGGAGCTTATCTGTAGTCTAGACAAACTTTGTCATTTTGATAGTGACTAGGATGTACAAAAAATACAACGTCTACCTTAAGTTTGGTTTGAAGTGCTTATTCGATTCAGCGTCATTATTTTAAGCACTCTAACAGCACATAATGACTTATCCTAAGTTATAATTGAAGTAAAGTACGACAATAAACCTATGTTATTTATGACTTTAACACAAATTACAACGTAAGTACATTTATTTAAAAAAAATATATTCAAAATATAAAAGATACATTCGAGTTTTTAATAAAAGATAAAGTGGCAGAAATATAAAAAATAAAGGGTCTTTTCATAATACGTGTAAGCTTTGACCACAATAGTATAAAGCTCCTACACGTTCCTTAAGCCAGTTAAATACATCCCAAACTCGCTGGGGTGGGCAGGAATTCATCCGGAATTCCGCTTTGGCAAACAAAATATTTTAGACAAGGGCATAAAACGGTTTATGCACGATGACCTAATTCTTGTCCTTTCCCCGAATATTACGCGATTATACTTTCATCCACCAGTAAAGCCCATAACATTAATTTTCATTTCACTTGCATCTGCTGTTACATCATAAACAATGATTGTTAAATATAAATTAAAAAAATTGCGTTAAAACCATGAACCTACGGTTGGAATTATATACCTTAAGGCAATCATATAAATGTACATAAAAGAATGAAAAAAATGTCATGTTTTTCTACCGATATTTATTGTTTTAAAACTTTTACGTGCACCGATACTACGTCGCGCTATCCAATAGAACTCGCTTGACTAGCCAAAGAAACTGGAAATGGTCGTTTATTGTTTGTTGATAACTTGAATGAACAAAGTAAACGTGCTGTCTAGTAGAATAACATGTGTAACAGTTATGTATAACATTTTCGACACTAGTAACTGAGTTGACAGTATCTTTGTTTAAAATTACATAAATAATACTGTATTTTTAATCAGTCGTAGTAAATAAAATATATAATAAGCTTATACAACGATCCAGGTACTATAAAATTAAACCAACTTTTATCTAGCAGTGGAAAAACAAAACTTTAGCACTTTACAAACACCATTCACTTTCACGATGTTTAACAAAACAATCACGTTTTCACTTGTTTTTTTGAAACGATCTCCGTAAAAAATCCGAATTGGAATTGAACTAAACGAAGACCAACGCGCCGCGACCACCGGTCTAGCCGGACGAGACTCGAGTAACTTTGTTGACAAGCGGGAGCCAAACCGCCGCCATGTTTGAAAACTTCGGCTCACATCGCTACACTTCGGCAACTTTCGGCTGCAACATTTTGTACTGAAACATTGAGCTTCGAAACAAGTTGCTTTATCTTAATCTGAAGAAAGCTTGAATTATTTACTGGCAGCTAGTTGTTAGTTTACTCCCCTAAATTATATTAGAAAAATAATCTGAATAAAATAAAAAATTATTTACATTTTTCCGTTGTCTAAAGGTTTCGTGACAAGTCGATAAAAACAATTCTTATTCAAATTTTAAGAATGAATTAATTTAATGCAGTAAAGTTCACATTTTAAAAATACGAGTTAGAACTTTAGGTCAGTAAATAAATATATTGTTTTATTAGTTGTATTATCTGCTGTTCTTACTTGATGATATTGTACGTTCACTGCTTGAAGCCAGCCATGCCACTTTCGCCTGTCAACTTTCAAAGCATTCCAGCAAAGTAAAGCTCATGACAACACGTTAATGAGTTATGACGCAATAACATTCAACCAAAGTAGCAATAACATTACACAAGTCTCAAATATTTTTTTAAACTATTCAGAAATTAATTGGACTAAAACAAACATTTATTAAGGTTCCTAACTACAAAAGCTCTCTAAGGACGTCGATAAGATTCTTTGAGGTGATGAGACGGATACGTAATTTACCTTTGACACAAAACAGGTTAAGGGCTAACTTTTATACTTTCTTTACTTGGTAAGTTGGAGAGTATGAGAAATAAATTCCGACCCAAAGTTTCGTCATCACGCCGGCGATCATGAACTCAGTCAGTTGACTGCGGACTACTGGCAATACTGAACCAACTGGTTCTTGTCCGCTTTCAGCATTGTTATGATCTCAGACCGAGATCAATAAATCAAATATTGGGACCTGCTATAGTTTGAAAACCGTGGATGATAAATTTTAAAATATGTAGAACGAGACAAACATTTTAATGAACTAACTTACAAAATAAATCATATTGAACTAGTAGATTAATAGTGAATTAGATAAATTATGCTTTAACTTTAAAATTGTAATAGCTAGCAGTTTAGTCAATACTGTAATAACAAACGAACAGCGCAATCTAGCGTCGAAAAGGAGAACTACAGCAAACATTTAGTTTGACGCTAACGAAGTATAGATGGCTCTGTCAAATTAAAGTTTAGTAAAAATGTAAACGTCAATTACCATAAATTGAATAAAAAGAACAAAAAAACGTACAATAAAAAGCATTTATCCATTTAGCTGCAGATTAGTAAAAGACATTGAAAGAGAGACGTTATAGTTATCTTTGGGGCATTATGCTTAATGATTTAAAGACAACGCGGTCATTAGTTTGAATTGCAAATTGTAAAGTAATTTCTGTGAGGAATTTACATGCTAACTATCACTTCCTGTGCACGGCACACATTTCACATAAAGATAAAACTAACATCACTCGCGTTGTCATACTTTATTGCGCTCTTTAATACTTTGTAATTTTAATATTCATATGAAAATCAAGACTGAAATCTGTACTTTTATTTATGTTAAGCATGCACAAATAATCGAAATTAATTTATCTTAGGATGTACTGGTCACAATTATTTGTAATGTGAGGAGTACCTATTAAATAGAATACTGATAATTTACGTTTTATGGTTTAAACCATATATGGTAAATAATGAATTTGCAAATTCTCTTTAACTAAGCAATGACCTCATGTGAGCGAAGTCGCTGAGCGATAGGAACAATTTAATTGTGCCAATATGCTTGACAATTAAGCGCTTCGCCGCTCAGTTTCGTTAAACGCAGATGTACACTTTTAAGGAGACCAAAACCTTTTTTCTTTCTTTAATCGACAAAAACCAATGGGTTTTTAACTAAATCGTCTGAATAGGTCGTATCTTTAAAGCGTTGTAACAAAAATAATTTCTACGTTACAGAATGATACACTAGACGACATTCTAATTTCAAATACTCATTAAAGAATTACAAAAATATAAACGAATGGGATTTAAAACAAACTCAGATATGACAGATATTGCAAGCGCCTGGTCTATCTTTATAATGTACTCAGTCTTCCGACAATGGTGGCGTTGAACAAAAACTAGCTCCCGCAAACGAGGTGGCATGCCGTAGATCCTCAGACGATTGATGCTATCGACATTAGTGGAACTGGGAACGGATGCTAATAATTATTTTTGCGTCCCGAGCAAATGATGAAGTACAGAAGTACTAAGTGTACTGAACTTTAGTCATTATTATGTACTCCTTGATCATGTCACCTTTTACGCAATCCATCCATCTCTTTCTAGGTCTATCTCTACCGGTGTATCGTTCCACACTCATAACTAACGTTCTCCTTGTAACATGCGATTCATTCCTTCTCATAACATGCGCATACTATGCTAACCTTTTACTCCTTACCTTATACTTACCTACCACTGGGGCTACTCACAAACCCGGATTAAACTATTTTACAGTTTATTGTGTCGCGTGAATTGTGACTATTTTATTCCGTAATTGCCAATAACGATAAATTAAACGTAAACACGAATTTCCGACTTTCAAGAATACAACCTTGAAAGAGGTTTTTGTTAAGGTGAGAATCGAGACGGTAACTTGCGATTTAAAAACTATAGTTATATTAAGCTGTCCCTTGGTTTAGGTTTCTCATACCAAATCTACATTAATCGCCGTCCATAACGGTCATTTCACTGTATACATAGTGGCAACTAAAAATGATTAATTAAAAGAACAAAATTAAAACAAAAAATGATAATTGTTTAGAGTTCTAATATTATCGGGAGTAGAAACGTGCCAAAATTGATTATGAACAAACAATAGCATTGTGTGGCCATGGCACTACAAAGCGGGGCGGAAGCGGCTCTGTACGAAAAGGGTTGATGTGAAAGAGACAGGAACACAGGAAGCGGATGCGAGGCGGTTGCGCCCGCGCAGTGCGACACAGGTGCCTTGCCAGTACGCACCAAATCATTTTGTATGAGTACGTGACTTAAACATTATATTAGCTTTAGCGATTATTATCGACCTACTGAAACTAATTCTGACGCAATAATGGAATATATAAATGTAAAGGGAAAAATTCGGTTGTATTTCTAAGAATATCAAGTGCCTAAAAGTATGAGAAAATTGTCATAGTTTCGAAAAATGTGGCACAAAGATACGTTCATAAATAATAACGTTCAATTTCACATTTAATAGTTAGTTTTAAGCACGTATTATACAAATATGACGAAACCATCAATACATAACAAGTCACAAACAAACAAAACGAAGTAAAATTTACAATAAAACTATTAAGTTATTTACACACCATTACGGAAAACCTTTAATTTAGCATTTAATTTAATTCCACATAACAAAAACTTAATTTTTTATGTTTGATATTCCAATTTACATATTTAGGTAAGGAATTCCATTTATTCCCTAAGTAGCTAGAACAAGAGGTAACAAATAAAAACTAAAACGTGACTGGCATGAATTCATTCACGCGAATGTAATCGTTGATAGAGATTTGAAATCAGCGTAGGTGTAACGTATCCGGTGTTACGTGAGTCATTCGACTAACTCATATGTTAATTAACATTACTTCAATGTCAAGATCACATTCAAACTTGTCCCGTGATTTACACAATAGAAGCAAGTATTGTTGGCTAGTTAACCCTGCACAAAGATAATTTAATCGAATACCATCCATCTTACTTTTTACTATTTTATAAATGCGAAAGTTTATATTACTTCGGGTCGCTGCGCCAACGCAGTAAGTAAGTTTAGATGAATGGATGGATGTTTGTTAGATTTTGTAGCATGTACTGCTGAACGGATCTCGATTAAATTTAGTTTAGATGTACAGCATAGTCTGTAAGAATGCATATTCTACTTGCTTCTATTTCTTTTTAAATTCCAAGCGGACTGAGTCGCGGGCGAAAGCTAGTTTAAAATTAAAGACTCGATATTAAAACTAACTATAGATTTAACATGCTGGAGAGAAAACATGTTACTTTCATAAAATCCCACCAATAATTTAGGACATTCGGTATGGATGTCGTGACATAAATACAAGAATGATTATCTACCAAGAAAACGACATTTTATTGTCTACACGAATAGCTATGGCTTCACTGTGCGGTCTGACGCTGAGCAAACGTGATGTTACATAAATATCAACGTATTACATAAAGTTATATTTTAGGTGTAACTATGTAATATTACTGTATCTCTATCAAGTATAGGCATTCCGCGGTTGGTTGTGAGACCACTGACAGTTAGTGCAGCCCACGTATGGCCGTGGCATAAATGCACTCGACAACATTTCCTTCATTTGCTTAAATAAGGAATACAGTTTGGAATGTATTTTAAATCTAAACAACTATTAAAGCGTGCGCATACTTCAAACTAAATTATCGGATAACTGTTTAGTTTCCCTTTGATTGCTATAAGCTTATATGGAGGTGCGGTCACTACTTGATTTTTAGTTTTGCAACTAAACAATTGAATTGCGAAATAATCGACAATCGCACAACAGTTGTGATATAGTTTACTTAAAGATGTGCACCCGCTCTTAGTACTCGTATTTAGATATGTAAAGTAACCAGACTTAATGGTGGTAGGATGTTTTAAGAATATAAAATACGAACCTTCGATATCATCCTGTGAGGTATCGAAGTCGGCGAGTGTGACGTTGGTGAGATCTTCAACGTAGACTTGCGGCTGTCGAGCTAGCGAGTGCCGGCCGCCCAGCGAGTGGTAGCAGGTGTCTTCTTCGTCCACCGCCTCTTCGGTAGACGATCCCTTCAGACACGAGTGGAAACTCCGGGAGAGGCGGCGCTCCGTGCTCATCCTCACACATGCCCGGATCAAAACGATAGTACTAACACCACACACTACACGTTCACCGCACTTGATTATCGCATTAGGTCACGTAATTATTTAATTGGGTTATCACTGATT